AAGGGTTCCTTTAGCAGAGGCCGGAGGCCTGTGATTCGTCGAGAGACAAATTATTATCACCAGTCCATGACAAATTGCGATAGCCGACAGCGATAGTTGTTGGGACTGCGCGAATATTAATGGCTGCGGCCCAAAAATTCCACCATCTCCACCCGAAAAGTGTTGGTTTCGTAGCAATCTGGCATCCCCACCATCTCATGCAATAATCTGATTAGCGCCATTCGTGCGTCCCGGCAGATGTGTAACCACGGTCTGTCACGGATGCAGGCCGCTCAAGAGCCACATTGGTCTGGAGATAGCAGGGCCAGATGTAACAAATAGCGTGGAGTTTGTCGTCATGAATCTATTCGGCCTCCGCCCCCGTGGACGGCGGGGATGATCCTGGATAACCGGCTGCGAAATTGTTTGACAGGAGATCGAAGCAGCCACTGGACGGACGACTGCCGTGGTCTTCCTCTTTGCCGTATTTTTTTTTCTCTAGGAAGGGAGCGGAAACCGTAAGGGTCACCGAATCCCTGCAAGAACTTGGGACTGGTGCGACCTCCCCTCCCCCAACGCCGGGGGGGTTTGTTGGTGGAGGAAGAAGTAGCCTGGGGTGCTAAATCTACCCGTCCGGCTAGGAGGACCAGTGGTATTCAGCTTTCGGCCGGTCGCTGGTTAAGTGGAGGAGCACAGACTCCATCTGGCCCCCCGAAGGTGCAGGACCATACCCTCTTGGCAGGCAACGAATTGCGTTGCAGGACTCTGCGTCAGAGGCCATTGTGAGTTGATAACCAACTAGCTGTCTCTAGCGCCCCCTCCGGAGCACCTTGCGAGCAGGATACCCTGAGCAAAACGGTCATGGCGGACCTTGTGTAGCGTCTTTTCCACTCTTCCGCTACTCTTACTCGTCCGTTGGTCCTGTATCCGGGGGATCGTTCCATCTGTTCTTTGGAAGGTTCCGAGCGAGGAGCACATGTGCAGAACATGTGATGCTGTCGGGACTTTTTGTGCGAGCTCTAGATCGGCATGATATCCTTCTTCGAACACCCATGGGCCACGACACCTGGGGTACGTCACCGCCCTCTCCGGTCAGGAGGAACAAGAACAGCTCCATTCTGGGATTTGAACAAGACAAGTAAACATTCAGAAACGATCTAAAAGGATGTCCGCTCTTTTAGGCTCCTCCAAGCGCCATGCAAATGTGGTACCCAAGAAATCCGCAGATCGCAACCTGGCCTGATATCAATATCCGAAAAGAAGAGGAAAAAAAAAAATAGAAAAAACCACAAAATGAAGTTACAGGATTCGAGTATATGCACATGAGAAAGACAGCATCATTAATATTACAAAGAACATAGAGAGATGTCGAGATGAGAATCCGGAAAAAAGAAAGGCGGTAGACATGAAGAGGTCGTAACGGAGGTCTCGTCGTGGTTCCGATATACTAGCAGGTCGCCGGAAAGGCTCCAAGATGCGCGGGCGTCATTGGCATGAGCGCCATCGCTTCCGGCCGAAAGAGGAAGGTTGCACTGTTGCTGCTAATGACGATTGACTGGTCGTTGATGCCTTTCAACGACATAGGCGACATTTCCCAACCACCACAATGAACCTGTCATGTGGGCTATCCGCGCATTTGGGGTCTTTGGCCCCATCGACAGACGTTCGGATGAAATGAGCGGATGGCTCCCGACAGGTGCTGTAGATATAGTAGTTTTTAAAGTAATTGCACATCGTCGTCAAGTTTCGATCTCAACGGGACGGGACACGCAGTGCAATGATGACAGATGCAAGTGCTTGCGGTTGGAATAGAGAGAGGCGTTCCGCAGTGCGTGAAGCGGCCAGAGGAAGGTTTCGGACTGGGCTGGGATATGAAACGGTGCAAGAGTTTAAACCGAGCTGGAGCATTGACAAGGCTCGTGCTTGACAGATTTTGAAGGGTCTCTAGTTCCCTTTTGAAAGGTGTCCGGGACCTGAAATAATATATGCCACTCATGGTGGGCTGTAGTGTTTGCCATGCAAGCTCCAGGGATAGGTATTTTAAGGCCCATCACAAGCCCCGATTGCAGCAAGGTTAAACAGGGGAGAGAAAAAGAGCCAAATGTATTTAATTTCCACCCAGAAAAAAAATTATATTTCCTGAAAATAAAAATAAAAAATCGCAATAATGTTTTTTTTTTCCCAGTCGTGCCCAAAAAAGTCAATTTGGGAATTCCTTTTTCTTTTTTTTTTTTGTCTGAACTGTTTGCATCTTAAATCATAGACCCGCACCACGAACCTCAGGGCCGTTGAAGCCACCGGTACGGAGCAAACCTTGACAAAGGGGTGTCCCTGTACAAATGCGGGTCCAGTGCCATCGGAAGCACGTCAATCACCTTAGAGGACCGCGATGATGCCGTAGCTACTAACTTTGAAGGAGTACCGGCGGATACCGTTCCACCGCGATGCGAAGCCCCATCTGCCGCGGATTGATCGGGTCAATGGGAGATCGACACGGTCCCTCGCAGCCGTTGATGCTTCACTTGCACGTGGCGCTAACTAGGATCTTCATGCATCGGTGATGGTGAGCCATGAATTCTTGCCTGGGATCTTACTAGAAACAGGGCTCTGCAACCCAGGTGAGATGGCCAAGCTAGCCGAGTTGCAATTTTCATGCTCGTCGTTCAAAAGCCGCCAGGGGAATCGCTCCAATTGGCTAACATGATTAGACTCCAGTCGCCCCGGGACAGCCAGATAGATGCATTAGCCAATATCGGGTATGGGGAAATCATAAGTTAGTTTGTCAGAGGGCTGGACCATCATTGGGCAATGCGAATATCATGGTGCCTGGCCCGTCCTGCCCTTTCCGCACCTTTTGTATCGGCGGGCGTCATTTATTTCCTCTCGCAATTCCCATTGATCAACCTGCATATGTTTGCCCCTTTGTACAATCCATGCAATTAATAACTTTATCCACAAGGAAGTTTGGCAACATGGTGCCACCTTCGCCTAATAGCTGAGCCCATATACTCGGGCACAGGTGGCGGTACTGCAGGGCTCCTCGTGAAGGATAGGAGATGATATAGCAGAAAGTCTGACTGGGATCACTATCAGCCGAAGGTACCTCATGCCGACTCAAAGGAAATACAGCGGCAAGCTATGAGCAGCAACAGCCATTGGAGAAAGGCTGGAAAACTCCATACGACAGGCTTCGGGAGCGTAGGGGTTCTGGGCGCTTCGGGAACAGATCATAGTCAGCCTTCACCCGATCCTTTCCTTGTGGAAGGGGCAATCAGAGCACGCTCCTTGTACCGGCCGCGCACACACCGGGCTGCCGTTGACTGTTGGTATCGTATGCGTAGGCTTCCGGGAGATCGGGGAGCAACGGTGCCAAGAACATAGTGCAATTCTTTCCACCTAATTGTTGTCTCTTTTTCTCCGTTCCCCTATTCTGGCCAACCTAAACTGACAAGACTAGTATGGAAGGATCGGGTGTTCTCCGTAGGCACACAACCTGGTGAGAAGTGCCCACTCAGATGGTCCCATATGCAAACAGTCTCGGCCCATTGCCGCTTGACCCTAGTAAGGCGATTAGCGGGAGACTGCTATCGGCAGAGGTATTTGCGGTATTTTTTCCCCTTTCATTCTATTTTTCTTTTCCAAATGTGTCAGCAAGCGGTTGGGGCAAGCAATCAGATTCCTTGTGATAGACCGGGGGCAAGTGACAAAGCCGTGGACTTCCCAGTGTGGATGGAGGAGATAGCTTTGCTAGGATAAGGCATAGTGATTTTTGTCCGGCCAAAGGGGCCACCGATAAATCCACTAGTACGGAGTACGTAGTTGAGATTATGGGTATAGGTGAAGGCAGACCCGTCGGAATCTAGAGCAGTGCCTGAAAAGGCCTATATTAGTGAGACATTGAGAGGGCCGGGGGAGGGGGGGGCACACAATTTTCGGCCGCCTAACGATGGAGGGAGCTTGGTCCAAGCCTGAGATAGGATGGTCCGCGGGACTAGAGGAAGTTCCCTGGCGGTTTGCGAGTCAGAACCACGGCCGTCATCGACAGCGTCCGGGAAGAGGCCCAAGCTCGGCATTTCCCGAGTTGGACTCGGAGGCCAGCTGGAGGCGGGGCCGCCAGCCTCGATTGGGACAGGAGGGGCAACTTGAACCACCACCTCGACTTTCGACTCCCGGCGCCTCCCTCGTCTTCCCCTCTCTTGGTCCATGTCGGAAAATCTCCCTGTCGATTCTGAAGAGAGACCAAGCGCTCAGCAAGTGGGCAGTAAAATCCATGGCTAGGCGATGACCAGTCCCTGTACCTGCAGGGGAACAATGTACCGAGCCAAGATCTGCTCGCACTGCTCCATACTATATTTCGACAGCAGCCACATCAGTATGGGGCCGATGGGGTCGGAAGGTGGCCCAAACAGGAATGAAGTCCTGGTACTTTGTACCTCGGCAGAGTATAGATACTCATAGCCACCAATGTAGGTACCTGGATGGCAGATAGAGCCATTCTCCATCTTTGAGGATTGACTGCTAGTCTGCCGGACTAAATGTCACTATCAACAACCTGCCTCTTTCGGCTAGCGCGGTGCTCTTTATGGGGAGATGCACTATGCTCAAAATGGCAACGGCTCTCCTCCCCCGGACCAATCCCGATCGGGCATTAGTGCACCCCGTGATGTGATCCTCGCTCATCCCGGCAACCTGAGCGCACCCGAGATCTTTCCATGCGCGCCCCCCCCCCCCCTCCCTCATTGACTCCGTCGCATCGTGGTCCTATCGCTTCGATAGGATCTTCAGCGATACTTCCGACACTCGCTCACAGATTGCTTCTTGCTGCCCTCACGACAGCCACGTCATTCGTTGTGACCGCTCTCCGGTAAAAGGAGGAGGGGTGCTATTTGGCTCATCTGGGAACCCGTCCGTCGTTGTGGAGACGGTTCGGATCCGCCCATCTCGTGCAGGTTATCAGTTGACCCAAACAATCGGACACCACACAATCATCCTTTGTTTGTGAAACCCCATCAAGGACCACCATGGGGTTCGGTGATTTTGATTCGATCTGCGAGAAGGCCCCGTTGCCACTATGCTCCTTAGTGGGCCCGCCGTCGTCAATATCGGGTTCGACGGGCATCATACCGAACTGTTATGCGCGCAACATTGAGCTGGCCAATACAATCATCTTCGAGGGTGCATCATGCTTCCTTCACATTATCGCGCTGGGGATGACCGTTATCATGATCTTACATGTGCGGTCTAAATTCACTGCTGTTGGTATGCTTCTGTCCCTTCTCCGGGCTTTTCTGTTGGGCGTCCTTATGGTGGAAGAAAAGAGACACCCTAAAAGTTGAGTTACATTAACCGATGCTGTCGTAGGTCGCAAGGAGATTATTACGTTTTTTTACCTCTACATGGCTCTAACCATATGTTCCCTGATCCTTGATGCAGGAGTGGCTCCACCTGGGAGTGGTGCGTTTCTTTACTTTGCTGCTGTTCAAAATGGGCTGGCCTCTGCACTCTGCACATCCCTGCTCATTAACGGATTTGTGGGCTTCCAACTCTACGAAGATGGAACTATCCTCTCTGTTTGGCTTCTACGGCTTTCGTCCGCAGCAATGTTCGTCATTTCGTTCCTTGTTTCTCTCGCAACCTTCAAGGCATGGGGAGGTCTTGGACCCACCAACACCGTCGGCATGTTTGTCGTCCTGTATGTTCTGAACGCCATCTGCATCGCGGTATATCTGATCATGTCACTCTTACTGGTCATGAACACGCTTGAAGACCGCTGGCCCCTAGGCCACATCGCTTTTGGTCTCGTGGTATTCATTTGTGGCCAGGTGCTCCTCTATGCATTCAGTGACACGATCTGTGACAGTGTACAGCACTATATGGATGGACTCTTCTTTGCGACATTTTGTAACCTTTTGGCCGTCATGATGGTTTACAAGGTATGCCCATCTATTCCCTTTCTGATCGAATCTTCAAGGACTCACACCCCTGTCTAGTTCTGGGATTATATTACCCAAGAAGATCTCGAATTTTCCGTCGGGATCAAGCCAAACACCTGGGAAGTCAAGGAGCTTCTACCCGATGAGGATCGTCGGCACACAGGGTACCCGGATGCAAGTTCGGAGTATGCCGGGAGCATGTATCATCATCGCTCGTCCACCTATCACGGCCAGAATTACTAGCCTAGGTCGAGGTGATTCATTCTTTCGACGTTCCACACCATGTCAGATGCTTCTTCCGTCCGCCCGTCGCCGAAATTTTAGGTTTTTCGCCTAAGATTTCACTTTAACTACTGCAGTCTCATGCAATCATTATCGAATCTAAGCATAATCCAACAAGGTGGATACCCTTGAGCAATATTCAGGTTAATCTTGGTTTTATTTCTTTTTCCCTCCTGGTGGAACTCATTGTTAGTTGATTTTGGACATCTCCCCAACCCTGTCTCATAGCCCAGTACCAGCGGAGGGCGGAACGGGAATGATCCGTGTGATCTTCTTGTGCCCTTCTGTCCCGCTTTCACCTGTCACCTTCGTATGGGACAGTGTGAGGTGATTCTTGGCACGCGCGCTTATTAATTTGCCATTTAATATGTTGGTATATTGCTACAGAGTGTGTACTATCGGTTATCAGTGCCCAGCCGGAGTAGGGAATACTAAATCCAGCCGACGTCCCTCCAATTGCCCCGACTAACCTCGTTACTCCATCTGGAGCGGACCGGACTACATGGAGCACCGTGAACCTTAAGTTAGTGGTACGATTGATGTCTCGGGGGGGATCCCACAGTCGCCCGAAGACGAAACATACTGACCACTGGCCAGTGGAGATCAAATCCGAAGGCTCCTGCTAAAACCGCTAGAGCCAGACTTGTAATTGCCGGTCATTCGGAACGGGAAAGGTCGACGACATGAGTCGGGCCTACTGGCTAAGGGGCCCTTAGGGCGGAAGCGCCGTAATGTTTAGGCGAATCCGTTAGCTGTCCAGCCCCGCCCCCATCCCCTTGGGGCGTGATCGGACCCTTGGACCTTCAGCCACACGTCTGTCACCCAACTTCCTCCAGGCCGCGGGTGAAACCGATTACGTGGAATAATTTGCATCTATCGAATGCGAACGTTTGTTCCGACGGAGCTCCTCTTTCGTTTTCTTTCTTTCTTTCCTTCTTCCTTCTTCTTTTTTGGTCCTGGGGCAGCGGGCGCGGTCCCGCGGTCCCGCGGTTGCTCCAAGAGCGCGCGCGCGCGACGTGCATAAACTGCCGGGGCAAGTACATTCGGCATTTTGCTTCTTTGGTGATTAGAAATGCATCCAGGCTGTCAATCCACGACCACGACATCGTCCCCGTCCATGAATTTACCGTCGGTCTGGCCCTTGGTACGGTCAGTGTCGGCCCGCGGCATGTCTCCGTCCACCTCCTCAATTGGGCCTGTAGCCGTGGCGTACCAGCCCTTGTCAACCGACTCCACTAGCACCTTGCATGCATCAGAAACCAGTAAACGAAAAGCTGGATTCTCATTCGGCAAGAACATGCTAATGTGTGCTTTAATTTCATCTGCAGCTTTATCATTCACGGCTCTGGCCCATCGGATGTCTTGTTGTGAGAACCCGGTGCTCTCCACTTCCGCGGGAAGCGAGCAAAAAGTGCGGTTCTTCGAGCGTATGATCTTCTGGCTGAATGATGAAGTCCCGGCATTTCTGTTCTCTACTAGAGCACTTGCATTTTTCCCCAAGCACGTATAAAAGTTGACGCAGCCAATGCCTCGGTCCCTCTGTATGTCGGCTAGCAGTGCAAGGCGCCGCCGCAATTCCGAAGAACGAGCTAGACAGCCAACAAATGCCAGATGGGATGACACCCAACCCAAGCCGTCCGTCAGTCGCTCACGCTGTGAATACATTGCGGCCGCCCCGCCCGCAGCCACAGCTCCTGCAGCTCCTGCAAACATGGCATATCGACCCCACCTTTGCCAGGATGGTGTTGCAGCAGCGTCTGTACTTGAGGAAGAGCTAGAAGCCGAAGGTGGTAGACTTTTATTGGGGTCGCTTTTCTGCTCGGTAGATGCCGTTTTGTTCGGGGAGCCGCTGTCCCCCAGCCCAAACAAGCCAGCAACTTCTGACAATGCCGTGTATGCTGAGGTGACATTTCGGTAATGCCCTTCTGCACCGTACGAGACAACCCCGGGAGCAATGCCCAGGAAAGGGGTATCGAATGCCATGACACCCTGAATGTGAGGAAACATGAAGGAGTCTGCCTCCACTGCTGTGCCGGAATCCGCGAGGGAATTAGTTGCAGCTCCTGCAGAAGATGTTGCAGGAATTGGTTGTTCCGAGGCTAGTAAAAGAAGGGTCTCAGCAGCGACGATTCCGCCCATCGAGTGGCCGATTAGAAACACATGCACGGAGGGGTCAACCGTGGGGGACGCTGTTCGGTTCGCAACCTCCAAGTCGATGACTTTGTTCTGGAGCCTACATCGTTATCGGACATTAATGGTCTGCTCTATCCATTTTGGACCAGTCTCGTATAGGGCTTTGACGTACCATTCCCGAAAGGCACTCACACATTCTTTTAGCTCACCCCGAGTCTGATACTTCGGGTACACTGCAGTGGCAACTTGTACAGCAGAAAGGGAGCGAGTAAGCAGTACACGAAGGTGTCCGGGGAACTCCCCAAATGTATCGTCGTCCCCCTGAATGTGTTAGCGAGGTTCAAGCCAGACTCCGGCCAGGACCGGGCACGTGCGCCCTTCAGGAGAGAGGCGAATAAGGATGGGTGGAGCATGCGCGGTACCTTGAAGCCATGGATAAACACGAGAAGCAGCGTCTTTTTCATTGTATCACACCGGGCAAATCCGGACGGTGCATTCCTCCCTCAGAGGACCACGCAACAGGATTGGGTTTGACGTATAAGAGAGAAATTATTGATGAATCGAGATCTGGCAGCGGGCGGAAAGTGGATGAGAAGGGGAGATTCTCGGTCCTAGGCCGCTACGTCATCGGGCAGCCAGACCACGTGACATGGATGGTGACCCTCACGTGCTCGCAGCGTTGGCCATCAGTGTCTCTCAGCACTAGCCACTGGCAAGTGCGTGGCCTGATGAGCATAGTAATACCAAATCCTTGGGTCTAGGCGCCGTTTGTCAGCCCTGGACCCTAGTTAGACTTCGTGATGGGGATCTCACCGCTGTGAATAGCCTCGGCATGTCCCGTTCCCCACCAGGCAATCCAGCTGATTGCCGATCCGAGAGACCAAATAAGGAGCCTCTTGGATGTTAGCATCATTCATCGATCGTAACACTATCGAGTCTACGTACGGCATCATCATGGCACCCCGCGAGATATACAATGTTGTGAAGCTTGTGCCCAAGCCAGGCAAATCCAATCAAGTCCGTCCACTTCTATCTCCCACTCCGTCCGGTATATACTGATGTGAAGGGTAGGTCGTGGAAGCCTTCAAGGCATTATCGCAACACATCGAAAACAACGAACCAGACACTCAGATATATTTTGCTCTGCAGTCAAGCGGGAGTGATGAGCTGATCTTCGTTGAAAAGTAAGATTGGTGCAGCTGGCACGAAGCCACTGGAAAAAGGAGAAGCTCACCCGTGATTTACAGATACAAGGATGGCGATAGCCTCAAGGCGCATGGAGCATCGTCCGAGTTCAAGCAGTTCGCCAAGGCAATCGGGCCTTTTCTGGCCCAGCCTCCTGAGATTAAGGGGGCTTCGTTTGTTGCTGGGTTTGAGGGTAGATCGAAGCTTTAGTTTATCCATGATTATCCCTGGTTGCGTACCATGAGACCGGCCAACCAGGCCTCCAGTGAAGCAAATGGGTTGAAGAAGAGTATTGAGACTTGAAGAATGGACTGGTCTAGATTGGCACCAATCTACTGTTAATATAGGCGAGTGGCCTCTCATTACTGGTCGCTTGTAAGTCTGATTAGTTCGGACGTATCCCTAGTGAATAGCTATGGTCAGTATAGTATCAACAAATGGTTCGTACTCAAATGTTGATATGGGCTAGTGGCTAGCAACAATGGGTCAACTGTCTCTAACACATGTCCTTTGTGCAAAGGGCATCAACGCTTCCATATCAATTACACGCCACTGCATACAACCACCCCGGCTGATACATGCAACCTGTATCGCAAAGACATTCATACAACACTATGCGTGCATCTAGATTCTAGTCTAAGTCTACACCCCAACATTAAAGCTTTTCCCTCAACCTCGGCATGCGCAACAAACTATCCTGATAACTCGTAGCGAACAACTTCCCATCCGGCGTCCACAACCAACTCTCATGAACCGCCCGATTCTCCTCCGACCGCGGAGTCCACCCCTCCTGTACAAACCACTTCTTCTTGACTTCCTCCTGACCCTCCTCCGCACCAGACCCCCAATCAATCATCCTCAACGCCTCCCCCAGCTGATGAAACACCACCGTGAGAGTCAAACTCGACATCGACGAAAAGCTCGCCCGACCCAGCGCCCGAACAATCAACAATAACGAATTCCGATCACACGCATACATATGCGCACAGGCATACAGATTATCAAACTCCCCTGATTCCTCCCGTTTCCTCAACTCTTCCTTACTTCCTGAATCCGATGGCAGGCCCTTGAGTGAATACATCGATAACTGCCGATACTTCTCCGGATGACTCTTCACCTCTTCCGTCTGGTTATACCCCTTCATATCCACCTTGCGCATATCCACCCCGGGAAACTCCCTCTCTGATAACTCCCCTGATTCCACCCCCTTGATCCACCAGTCCACATCTACGCTCGGACTCACGGGGTACTCCTCGGGTTTCTTCCCCGCTATAATGGACGCATACCGCTCCTGTACGGGGACAGGTTGATGGGAGAATGTAGTCTCATTTTCGGCCCGTTTGAACGAACATAAGCACGAGAAACAGATTTGGCCGGATTGGCGCACGTCGACGGAGCGCGTGCAGTACAGGTTTCCGTCGCGGAGATGGCGCACGGTGTATTCGAAGGGAACGTCTAGGAGGCCTCCTAGGATGAATGTTCCCGTCATGTTCTTGTTGGATTCATTAGAGAGTGTGCTGGTGATATTCTGGGGAGGGATGGGCCTACATGGATCACGAAGCCCTTCTCGACTGTTTTGGAGGCCGCGTAGGCCGACTGTGCGTAGACATGGCCGCCGAAGGATCTTGTTCCTTCGCCTGGTGGGTAGGGAGTAGCGAGGGATTCGAAGCGTTCGATCTGTTCTGTTTGACCGCTGCTAGAGGATGGGTTGGGGAGACGTCGCAGAGCCATGAGCTCTGCGAAGGAGGTTGGGCTCTGGTTGGGTTCGTCCGTGGGCATTATGTACGGTGGTGGATGAGTATATGGTTGTTAGTTGCTGATGGTGGTGATCTGAGGCTGGTAACTGGACTATATGTATATGCACTGGTATATGTTGCTCGGTACGCTATGTGGCTATTGAACATGCAGGGTCTGTACGGTTGTTGGATATGGGGAAATGGACAGGTAAGATTGTCTGTTGACTTGAGCTCATGTGCCTTCGACTGACTAGTACTTAACCGAAACCGACCTAATCGAGGAGAGCCTCGGCTGAGCGGGCGGAATTGGTTGGCTCCTGAAGCAAAGTCCGAGGATCATCAATCAATAGTGGCGTTCTCGGTGTACTCTGCAGATCTCAACGCTATGCTGCGTATCCCTTGGGGCTTTTCTAGCGCTGCTTGCAGCTGGAGGCCTTCGGGATTATTGTTATTCCATTCCTTGTGTATAGCTGTTGCCAGGCACGGCATTTATTGCCCGCGATAGATTAGGCTATTCTGATAGATGGAGAGCGTATATCAAAGTGCTTTCTATAGTCTGGTCGATTGGCTCTCAGAAGAGATCATTGACCGACTGCCACCACCACGCTATCGCAATAAGCGATGTAATGGGGGAGATGTCAACGTCGTTGACCCAATAAAACCATGAATATGGAGCCGCGAGAGCAGAAAATCACCATCTAATTGACCAAATCTGCCAAGTAGGTATATGCGCCGATAATGCTGATATGATATACAAAAAACCCATCCCATGAATAATACATTGACGATTCGAATCCGCTTTCCGTACCCCGAACGAACAACCGCATTCAGCGATCACAGTCACCCTCAGAACCCATTTAGACCGACTCGAAGACGCTGCGGTTGTTGTTCCACTCGACCTTGCCATCGATGTCCTTGATCTCCTCCAGCTTGTCGCCGAGCTTCACAACGGAGAAGCGAATCATCCGGGGATCGAGACCGAGGGTTCTGCGAACTGAGGCCTGCACGGGGCCGGAGGCATCGAAGCGCATGATGAAGTGGTGGCCTTCCTTGTAGCGGGCCTGGTGCTTGGTCGTGGGCCGGGGCAGACGGAAAGTGCCCCAGTTGGTGTATCCGCGGACTACGCCGCCGGAGCGGAGGACCTGGATACCGGCGTTGCGGGCGATACTATCATCGTCAGTGGACAGTCATGGTGGATGGTCGTGTGACGAAGCAAAGTGTTGCCCGAAATGATGGGACAGTAAAAGCATGATGGGTAGGCACATACTCGCGAACCTCCTGGAGGCTGCCGGGACGGACCTGTAGTCATCAATCAGCATCTATCCCCAACCCCAATAAGAACCATTCTGAAGCGTCGCGGATCACATACAATTGCAATCAGTTCGTACAACATGGCGTCGACTATGTGGAGTGGGGTCTCGATTGTAAGATAGCGTCGGGGAACGAAAAGACGACGGAGAACCAAACACGGAACTGGGAAGGGATGAGATTTTTCCGAAGGCCATTGCGGAGGCTCGACCATCGCTCTTATCAGCACCCGCCTTGGCACCCGCTATCAGCGCCGGGAATCGCCCTCACCTCCGTCATTCATATTTAATTTACCTCCCCTCGCTCTCTTCCTTTCTCTCCCATTCAATTCACACTTTCTTACCTCTCTCGCACCTCTTGTCTTCCTCCATCTCCCCTCAATCCCAATCATCCACCATGTCTCCCATCGCCAGATCCCTCCGTCCCTTCGCTTCTCGCCTGCTTGCGCAGAAGCTTCCCCTCTCCTCCGTCTGCAGGGCCGCGCCGGCCAGTTTCCCGCGGGGAAGTGTCCGGAGCTTCTCCCAGAGCCCTCTTTGTGAGAACCCCCCTGAATCGAGGTCGATGAGGCCATTGAAGCCTCGTAGGTTCCATCCGAAGCTAATAATCAAACTCTGGCAGCTCAATTGAAGAAATACACCGAGTCGCACGAGTGGATCGAGCTCGCCGCCGACGGCAAGACTGGTTCGTCTACACCCACCTACCACCTTCCATTGCTGTCTAACTCTCCTATTTGAATTGTTTAGCTAAGATCGGAATCACTGAATACGCCGCCAAGTCCCTTGGTGACGTTGTGTTTGTCGAGCTCCCCGAGGTCGACCTGGAGGTCAGCGCCGGTGAGCCCGTCGGTGCCGTCGAGTCCGTCAAGTCTGCCTCGGACGTCCTTTCTCCTGTTTCCGGAACGGTTAAGCAGGGTAACGCCGTGCTTGATGACAATGCCAAGTTCATCAACCAGAGCCCCGAGGGTGACGCCTGGATTGCGGAGATCGAGGTGAAGGATGTTGCGGAGTTGGACGGACTGCTGGATGAGGCTTCTTACAAGGCTACCATTGATGAGGAGTAAGGGAGTGTGGTGTGGATGGTATGATCTAGATGAATGGACTTGTGTTTGTTTGGGTTTATATGAGCGCGCACGTTGCGGCTTCGCATGAAGTGCAACAGTGTGATTGATTATGATTGTTAGTGATTTGGTTTGTTTCCTTTGTATTGGGTTTATATGGCCGGGTTGTTGTGTGGAAAGTTAGGTATGGTTTCATCACAGTCGTGACTGTCTAGAGCTACGTCATGCCGCTATCGGTGGCCTTTTATTCAACAAGGGCTGTTTGTTCGATGCAGGTTGTAAGAAATATATGATATCCTCTGCTTGCTCCCAGTTCTAAAAAAAAGGGCTAATCCCTTGTTTGTTTTTATGTTTCCGTCGTAATTGTATTCAACTCGAGTACGATCTGACTGTCTTATTCGCGAATGCTTATCATAAATGCGCGCAACAACTCGGACGCGGCAGCTATTGTCGCATCTATTTATCGAGACGGATGCTGGCAAACACGATAAGACTAACTATAGGCTCTGTGTAACCACTCTGGCTGCTTTTGAAGGTTTTCGTTCTATTTGCATTACTGCTACTACCGGCACATCCTGGTGCTGCAAGAACTGATTTAATCTGCTTATACAACTAGTAAGTATAGCCGCCTTCCCTATCTCACGTAGCATCTGTCATTATATCCTTGTTTACCAAAATGCTTTTCGATAACAGCTCGATAGCCAGCCACGTGAGCTAATTCAGAAGTGGGGCAGATGTACGATCTTGTACAGAGTACCCCGTGGTTCCCTTGCCCTTCTTTGCTCTTTAAAACCATCCTCAGGCTGCTACAGGCCAATTCTAAGCGGGGCATGACATTGTGCTCGAAGGCTGAAGTGCAACAGTAGATGATGCTGGCCGCCTTCCTAATATAGTAATATTGGCAGTCCGCCGGGCGGTGAGATGCCTCCCCGGATGGGGCCGAAAGTAAACCGAGGAGTCGAAGTGATAAGACAATCCTGCAACATTCCACTTCAGACCCTTGCTTTGTCCATACTCTGCCTCTGTACCCTTCTCCGCCGTGTCCCGCACGGTGTAACGCGATCCCTCTGAGCTAGCACCGAAGCCATCGGCGCGGGCGCCAGCTCTTCGTTAGCCGAACATGGCATCGAACCTCCCCATCCCTATTCCTCCGCGCACCCCGACGCCACCCCCCGATGATCCTCCTAGCATTTCCGACCAGTCATCCGGTCTGCATGACAAAGACTCCCTGTCGCCATTGAGGGACACGTTCCCTGCCTCGCGGGGCACATTGGATCCCGGGGATGCGAATCACCTGAGCCCTACGCGGGGGGGCTTCAACCTCAGCCCGGCAGATGCATTGCAGGGTGATCAGAGCGACAATGCTACGGGGCCGTTCAATTTCAAGACTATGACAATGGCCAAGGGCCCAGTCGTCAAGTCTGTGAGTGCTGCTGCTGCTGTGGTTTGTCAGGAGATACTGACCCCGCCGTTAATGATGTAGAACATTGGCCAGCGACGCGGACACAAGTATAAGCACAGTAGTATTTCGCATCAGATCTTCCTCGAACCGCCCCCTCGAGCCCCTCTAGCTTTGCCCAATTCGCTGCCTATACCGACTTTCAAGGAGTACCGCTCCAGTATGTCCAGGGACCAGACTACCCGGTTCTGGTGGAGCGTGTGTCACATGTGTATTGCTGGATATACGCTTTGGAGTGCTCATGGATCTTTGGCTATGACGGCTCTGTCGCACTTGATTCTCTTTGACTCCCTCGGCGCATTGCTCTGTGTCGCTGTTGACATCTTGGGCAACTTTGAAGTATGGAAGCGATCCAGTGTTCGCCACCCGTTCGGATTGGAGCGCGCCGAGGTGCTGGCTGGGTTCGCCATGTGCGTACTCCTGCTGTTCATGGGGATGGACCTTATTTCCCATAACCTGCAACATTTCCTGGAGTCTTCCGGTCATGAGCCTCATCATACTCATGTCCACGAACGGGTGTCCTTGGGTCGTGTGGATTTTACCGCTTTGCTGGCTATTTCATCCACCTTGATCTCGGCCATTGGTCTCAAGAACCACGGCCGGATCGGCAAGGCGATGCGATTTGGGTATATTGAGTCGCTGCCGTCGGTTCTCAGTAACCCGTCCCATTTCCTGACTCTGTCTTGCTCCGCGCTCCTGCTGCTGCTGCCATTGGTGTCCATTAAACTCTACAATTGGCTGGATGTGCTGCTTTCCGTTACCATTTCCATCTCGATGTGTGTCATCGGAGTGCGGCTGGTGAAGACATTGGGCTCTATGCTGCTCATGTCCTACTCGGGGCCAGGGGTATCCGAGGTGATCCACGATATTGAGGCTGATCCCTGCGTCTACGGGGTCGACGATGCCCGGTTCTGGCAGGTCCATTACGGGCTGTGCATGGCCAACCTGAAGCTTCGAGTATCAGGAACCGAGGAGAATCTTGTGCGACTGCGTGAACGGATTGCCAGCCTGATCAAGAACCGACTTGGCGGAGGGTACGGATCTGGGGGACAGAAATGGGAGGTTTCGCTGCAGTTTACAGCGGAGAAGGCATAGCATGCTGTACATATACGAGGCTTCAATGAAGTATCATGTAATAGTGCTATCCATGTATTCTGTGACTACATTGCCTGATCGCCAACATTCTATTCGCAGATCTAAATCAAGATACAGACATCAGCCCTCCGAATTAGCCAGTCCAAGTCTAGCCGGCAGACTTCAAGCAATACCAGATATCTGCTAACCCAGCATCAACCACGCGGACCTAGTCAATCAAGTATAAAACTTTGTCAATCAATACCTTCACACCCACTCTACACCACCCAGCCTCAAAGCATTACAAGAACCTACACCCATCCATCCAAACCTCACCTATAAACTTCTCCCACCTCAAACCGAGCAATCCATTCCCCCCCTCCTCCCCCCTCCCATTTCCCCCTTCCACACCATAAACCCCAAAATAAATAAAACAGTCGGGATAACATTTCTCTCTAACCCTTAATACAACAAACCCACAAAGAGACCCCCCTCAATGAACTTCAGGTATACATGTTCCTTTTTCACGCCGCCGCGGCCAAAATACCCTCCTCAGCACCGCCAACCTTTCCCTCATCCCTCCGTCTGCGCTTCTCCAGAATAGCTTCCCTCCGCTGTGCAAGGATCTTCAATTGGCGGTTCTCGACGCCCTGGAGCCAGTATCCGAAGCTTCCTCCGACGCCGGCGAAGAGAGGGTACACCCAGAGGGATTCTTTGGCGAGGATGGGACGCATTTCGATGCCGAGTTGCCAGAGGCGGACGGCGATGCCTATTTCTTGTTAGTGTTGTACTTGGAGGGAGGTGTGAGGCTGAATTCGAGGTGGATTGGTAGAGGTAGGTATGTAGGTAGGTAGTGGTGATGGTAACATACCGAAGCCGCCCCAGAAGAGGACTTTGTGAACCATGATCGCGGACCGGCTGCGGTGATACGGTGCGGTAGGGAGGAAAGGAATTGAATTGCGACACGCAGTGGGGAGAAATCCAACTGCAACCCAACACCAGCGAAATGGACGGTCGTGAGGTTCGATTGAATGATGATTACCCGGCGAATCACGGCCCCGTGGTTCCCAATCTTGCTTGTTCGGAGGTTTTCGGATTATCTGTTTGCCCGGGGACTGCGGCGCGCGGGTCTTCCGCCTTGCGACTCTTGATGATTCTAGGTATTCTCCCCGGAAACTTTGTACCGGTCTATTGGCTGGGCGCCTCTTTTCAGGTTTGACTAGTTAATACTGGCTGATGTCTCATGGCTGGTCCAGAGGAAATGTCGGATTCGTTGGTGGCTGCTGCTGGGGTCAAGCGGGCGTCGCTGGATCTGGACCTGGACAGTCTCCAGCGGAAGAAGTTCAAGACGGATGAATTGCCTTTATCCGCGGCGCAGCATACGGCGATTGAGAATTTGCTGCACGCGTTTAAGAAAAGGGGTGGGTTTGATCATATTCGAAAGAAGATATGGGCGGAGTTTCATGATGGGGTATTTTGATTCTTTATTTGATTTTTTTTGTGGTGTTGGTAGGTGGGTATGGGCTAATGCGCCGTCTAGGAAGGCAAGGTCGAATTTACGAAACTCCTCGTTGAGCTCGCAGAGTCGGAAATCGATCGCGAACCCGGATTGCTTGCTCGTGAGCGGGGCAAGGCTGCGACGCTGATCGAGGGTGCCGTGGATCGAAGCGATGTCTACAAAACTGTCGAACATTCGTTGGACGCGCTGGCGGAGAAGTTCCTTCTTGATATCTTGGGGTCGGTCCGTGAAATTCGTCGCGATGAGATAGGGGAAGAGCTCGCCGCGCAGGAGGAGAAGGCTGGGAATAAAACCGACGAGGACTACGCCGTTCATGTGAAAACGAAACGCGACGAGCGCGAAAAGATCTGGCAGGAGGAGCTGCGCAAACAACAGGAAATTGAGGAGGAAGAGGCGCGCAAAAAGGCCGAGGAGGACCGCAAGCGACGGGAGATTGAGCGCCAAAAAGAGGAAGAAGAGAGGGCTCGGAGGAGGGAGCGCGAGGAACAGCGACGGGAGGAGCAGCGGAAGCTGGACGAGCAGCGAGAAAAGGAACGCCAGGAACGATACGAGCGACGACGCCGCGAAGACCGCGACCGATACCGCGACTGGCGCGATCGCAGCCGCACCAGAGACCGTGATTCGGATCGAGATAGGGATAGGGATCGCTACCGTTACCGGGATCGCTCACCAGGTTATCGCTCAGATCGCGCCCACTCCCCACGGTATCGCGAGTCGCGAAAGGACAAGTCGCCCACCCCGAAAGAGCCCACGCCTGCACCCGTGCCACCGCCGCCACCGGTGGACGAGAAGTCGTTGGAGGAAACGGCGCTACAACTTTTGCTGAAGGAGGGAGAGGAGCTGGCGGCCAAGGCGCGGCAGAAACCCGAGTTCGACTTTGAGGAAGCAGAGGCGATTGAGAACGGCCTCAAGCCACCCCCGAAAGGGCCCAAGGCGGAATCGAGATACTCCAACACTCCGACCAGGGCAGGGAGCCCGCCGGGCGACGCAGATCAGAACCGAACACGTGGATCCACAGCAGACGATCGCAATCGGACAAGAAAACGGGATGACAGCCGCAGTCGCTCGAGAAGGAGGTTCTCGTCCCGGTTCGACGATGACCGCGTAGACCGGTCGCGCGATGTCTCCAGCCAGCCGCGCAACCGAGATACCGATGACCGACTCGTGCTTCGTGATTTCCGCGACAACCGATACGGCGACCGCAGCTATCGCCCCAACCGCCGGAGCCGAAGCCGATCTACCACGCGAACCGACCGGGAGAGAGACCGTGACCGTGACCGTGACCGTGACCGTGACCGAGAGCGACGGGACCGGGATCGAGATAGGGATCGAGACAGAGACAGAGATACTAGGGACAGGGAAAGAGATAGGGATAGGGATAGGGACAGAGATAGGGACCGACACCGCGACGACTACCGCCGCCGACGAAGCTACTACTCCCGATCCCGTTCTCGCCCTCGATACCGCTCGCGTTCACGCTCACGCTCCGTCCATCGAGACCGAAACCAAGACCGTGAGCGTGAACGAGAACGTGATCGTGATCGCGATCGCGACAGAGACCGAGCCAGAGACCAAGACAGAGACAGGACCAGAGACCAAGACAGGGACCGAACCAGAGACCCAGAAAGAGATAGGGACCGTCCCCGCGACCAAGACCAAGATCGAGAACGAGACCGAGACCGACCCCGTGAGCGCGAAGACCACGCCCGCGAACAAAACCGTGACCGAGACCCCGACGACACCCGCCCCCGCGAAGGCGAGAAATCCCCCCGCGTACCGGGTTCCTCTCGTCGGCGGTCCCGCTCCCGCCGTCGCTCACGCAGTCGTCGCCGCTCGCCCAGTCTCCTCGACATCGACCGCTACGTCCCGCCCACTAGTCGCCGGAGCCGGTCTCCTCGTCGTCGGGTGCGGTCGCCGGAACGGACGGAGAAAGAGCGTGACCCGCCGCCGCGGTTTGTGGAGATTGATCGGTATATTCCTGGTGGTGGTAGTGGCGAGGCGGAGGGTGGGAATAATGGGAATCGGGAGAGGGACAGGGAACGGGAACGTGATAGGGATAGGGATAGAGAGAGGGATAGGGAAAGAGAAAGAGAGGGAGATGAGAGGAGACTGAGACGACGGAGCGTGAGTCGGAGACCATCGTGATCTATCTCTATCTATCGATAGCTCGATGAGTTGGTAGATAGATAGATCGATAGATGAATAGATAGGGATGATGTGTCTAATGTAATATATTGATGTATTATTGGTATTTACTGTGGCCTTCAATTAGTATGCACGTAGTTAGGACCATGTAATTAACTATGTTTCTTTGAATCTAACTGATTGGTCTAGAACTCATAGTATGGATGAATTGGGTTTCGATGTCCAGGGTTCACTTTGCTCGCATACTACCTAGTTTTAACTACTTGCTTTCCTATGTAGACATGCTATAAGGTCTCGATTGACGTTCCATTTACCTGATAACGTAACCACTTAACTCTCGAAGACTAATCTATGTATCCACCACGCAGGCAGACATGTACATAGATAGAGACTCGCTTCGACCAGCTAACAACAACGTAGCAACCCTCCAAGCAACAGAAGAGTGACTACCTACGTCTTACTCTTCTCCACCGCCTCCTGGAACCCATCATTCTCATCATGCCGTTTATAGAAGTAAGCGTTGGAGCCGGTCCCGGTGGGTCTGAGTTCCGGGGAGAGACGATCGAGAATGGTTTGTTCGAGAGCCTTGATGGAGCGTTCGTTGGAGCCGAGCTTGTTCCAGACGGAGATGAGATGCGTGTTGAAGCGGATGGAGGTGGAGACGCCGAGGACGTGGTCGTGTTCTGTTTATGATTCTGTTAGTATACAAGCAACAGAAAAGACAGAGGAGAGAAAAGGGCAAAAGGGATGGGCATACCCTTCTCCAACACAGCCTGAAACTCATTTGCCATGCACAAGATGGTAATCTCATGAAAGAAAGCCTGGGCTTTACTCTTCGGCACGCGAAAGCGCCAGCACCCTCCGTTGCGATTCTCCGGGTCCTCCCAGACGGGCTTCACGCCCTTCCGGAAGATATGCACGGTGTCGCGCAGCCGGATCTTGTCCCATGGGTAGTTGTTGTAGACGCGGTAGAAGGTGGCGATGTCGGCGACGTCTTCGTGCAGGACATACAGACGGGAGTCGTAGTCTGTGTCTGGGTTGTCGGTGTGTCGGTCGTACCAGACTGTCCAGTGGTATTGGAAGGGGAGGGGACGGAGCTTGCCGAAGATGTTCTGGTGGAGGGATTTGCGAGTCAGGTCTTTGTCGCGGGGGTGCTCCTCTATGGGGCTTTGGTCGTTGATGTGGAGGCTTGGGATGCTCATGTTGGCGGGCTGGAGGGGTGGTGGTTTGATGGTTGGATGGGTGAGGGGGAAGTATGGGGATGGTGGGATGTGGTCTGTTATATTTCCTAGGTGAGAGGGGAATGAGATACAGGCATTCCCTGTGTTTGAAGGCAATATAGTTCGGAGTGAAGAGGATCCTATTGTTGGTAAGCTTGGAGAAAAGAAAGGGGATCAATGGCTATAACGTGGCGGAATAAAGAGGAGACAACAAAGGGGTATTAGACCTGTCAGATGGACAATGGGACAATGAAGCACAAAGGGAGTTTACCTACCGAAGTAAGTGCAGGTGAAGCTATTCCGGGACACACCAACGGACGGTTCCTAACAGACTCAGGAACCAGCAGACCAGTCACGCCCGAGACAACCCAGGAGACAATAGTAAAGATGAACTCTCTGAATCCAGGAGAGGGGAAGCACGCCCTTATCAAAGCCCGATGAATCCACCACGAGGTCAGCCCCGACCAGCCGTCAGAAGCATCGAAGACAACGGATTGCACACGCAACACTGCCACCGAGGTTTCACCAACGAGGCGTGCCTGCCGCTCGCTGCACGATGAAGAACGCAGGTCGGATAACTGGCCTGATCGATTGGCGTCCATGGCGTCAGCCTGGCATGGGGGCAGCATTAAGGGCTACGGTTAGTGTCTTTGGTTGTGTTTAGTTCCCCGCCAACCCGCCGCTTCCCCACTTCGGCGCCAATCAATCGCCCGCAATTTCATCCAGTCTTCTACTACTTACTCTGATTTACTTTCTCATCACTATCCATCCCCTCCGCCATGTCCCCCTCCTCCAACCGCCCAGGGGCCGATCCCCTCGCCGTATCCACGCAATCATGCGCTCCCACTTCCAGTCGCGATGTCGACCCGCGCGAACACTCCCCCGCCGCATCGGCTCATGACCTCCGCCACACCGCAAACTCCACCAGCCATGGTAACCTCGAGGAGGATGAGGACGACTACACGTCCTCGTCGGGGTCCAGTGACGACGATAGCGAAGATGACGACGAGCCTATCACACATGAGCAACCTCAATCCAAACCTCCCTCCGACGACATCCCGCGCATTCCCTCGATACCCAAACCGCGCATCCACCGCATCGAGAAAAATCCCGATCTGCTCTCCCGCTTATCGGCCTTCCTGCCTCAGATGAAAACCGCCAATGAGCGTCTCGAACAGGAGATTGCCGCCGGTCGGGCGAAGGATGTGCGATTGGATGACTTGGATGATGACGAGGAGGGACAGTACATCGAGATGGTATGCAAGATTTTCTCACGGCTCCCGGTTAAGGTTTGGGTGTGCTAATCGCGAGTAGAACTTGGGTCTAGGTGTTCTCGAAGAGAAGCGACCGGATGAGGAGAGCAACAATGCCTCCGAGGGCAAGCCCGAAGCCAAGCAGAATGAACATATCCTGCCTGAGAGGCCCAAGGCTGCTAAGGACTCGAACGTTCTGGATACCCTGATGGGAAATGCGGAGAACTCGTCGGAGAAACCGACCATCGAGGAGATATAGAGGCTATCATGGCTATTGATTGCATGGGTTGGCGCTTCCGGTTACCGGTTGGTTTAGGATATACATAGTTGCTCGGGTCTGTATTCTGGGATACTGCTAGGCTTGGTTTACAAAAGTTGGTATACGTTCGCTACGAGGTCAGCATCATAGATCATCACATAGTAATCATACCCATACACAACACCAACAGGTCTAATAACACAAGTTGGACAGCCGAACAGCGAATGTCAACAATCTATTTGCAGAAGATTAGATTGTATACGTCAGAGCAAAGCTCCATGTTTATTAACTATCGTCGCCGCATCACCGTCATCCGCTTAGGAAACCTCCTTCACCCGGCACGTCCAGCCGGATTCCTGGCTCAGCAGGGGCAAGCTATCACTCGTTAGTATCAGCGGATCAATCAAGAACCATCAGTACTCACCTTGCACCCAGACACCAGCCAAGTTCGTTGTTCTTGATCTTCTTCGCGATCTTGACCTCGCGCGACAACGGCATCTCGTATCCCGTGTGCAACAGACCCAGCATGAAGTTCAGGTCCAAGCACCACTCGGGCCGGTCGCGCAGTTGCGGCAGAGCATCCTCTACGCCCTCGAAGATGCTCCACTCCGGCTCGCCCGCACACACCGTCGCCGTGAGCTGGTGCAGCTCCTCCAGCGTGAACGAGTCGGGCATGCCCAGGGGCTTGGTGCGGTCGAAGAAGTAGGAGAAGATGTACACATCTTCGCGGGCAAACGTCTTCTCCAGAGAGGGCTGGTGGACACCGTTGAACGAGCATGGCGCCAGTTTGCAGCCAGCATCCTTGTTGAGGATCTTCTCAGTCAGACCACGACATTGGGCAGCGGCATTGGTGCCTTCCTTCGGGCCCACCATCTTCACAGTAACCTTGCCCGCGAGCGCGTGGTCATTGTCAAAGGTCAGCTCCACATCACGCTCCATACCGGGTCCAATGCAGGGGTTGGAGATCGGCTGCTTCAACCAGGACATATCGACGGTGCTAGCGGCCAGCTTGGCCTCGACAATAGCCTTGTGAACAGCCTCCCGGGCGGCCATCAGCCCATAACCCAGGTGAGAGTGCTGGTACAGGTCGAAGTGTCGACCACCGAACTGCAGCGCATACTTGTGGTCGCCCTCGGCCAGTTTCTCGGGCATACCACCCGACGGGCTCTTGGGGAATGTGGGCTGGAAGACAATCTGAGTGGAACCACCTCCCAGGTCGAAGATAGCAGCGGTAGGGGTCTCGTCAGGGCCGCCAATCTTACCAAGAAGGTAGTTGGTCGTGATCCAAGCGTACACGCCCTCATCCGAACCATCCATGATCTGGACACCGCCCATTTCGCGGGAGACAACAGGGAAAGGGTAGACGGTCTCCAGGCGAGTCCTGACGGCCTCCAGGATTCGCTGGCTCATTTCGGGTCCGAGCATACGCAGTCCGGCGGTGGCCTTCACGGCAACAGGGGAGCAAGACTGATATTCGGCGGGGACAGACTTAAGAGCCACCTGCATGAGGGGATCCAGACTCTTGGCAGCTCCCTCCGCATCTTCCTTGTAGGAGCTAAGTCCGGAACCACCCTGTCTCTTCTCGGTCTGCTCGAAGACCTCGTTCTCAAGCTCGGGAGTAGGGCCGCAGTTGTTGAAGCGGTAAACGTGAATCCGAGAGCCCTGACTTCCAGCGTCGATCATGAGCGCATACTGAATCAGAGGCTTGGAGGGGTCATGAGGCTTTGTGCACTTGTCCGTGAGGGGAGCGACACCGGTGGAAGGTTGCTCTATGTGGCCGTCAGTCCTGTTCAACGTCGTCCACATAGGGGTACTCACGAGTCCCGAGATTGCTCACTGTAGGCTTAGACGGCGAAAGCCAGAACAGCATAAGAAGCACAGCCCCAACAATCGCACCTGTCTTGAGGTAGCGGGACCGCTGACTTTGGGACATCATGGCGCTGGAGAAACTGCGACGAGATTTATTGATCGATTTGTCCAAGCTGGCTGTAGTGATTGCGGGTTCGGAGGGGTGCGACACCGAACGTCTGCTAGGTCTGGAGCCTGACGAGACAAAGGGCGATGTACCTTGAAAGTGTCGACTGTCAACGCCAGTCGACATGCGGGCAAGGCCAAGGATACGGCGGTAGCGTTACGTCCGGGGGACCACGCTTGTGGGTTCCGACCGAGTTGGATAAAGGAAAGATGGTGGATTAACGGTGGAATCGAAGAGAGACCATAGGATCGTCCGGGAGCCTCCGGTCCAGGCCAAAAAAGATTGTGGGGAGTATAGCCAACCAACGAAGGGAAGGATAACGGTGGCAGTCAGGGGCAAGCGAGCGAGCGAGAGAGAGAGAGAACAGACGAGGGCGAGACGGAGAGGCAAATGAAGGCCACTCGGCGTGATTAGTATTCCGCCTCTCAGGGTCTCTGAAACGATCGGGGGTTCCGCCCGCTGCTGTGGCGTCGCCCCCGTGGCTGGTGGGCGGTCGCCGCATGCAGCCAGAGCGCCGGACACATTCCCGACCATCTTGACTTCCACCACATGGTCCCTGGTAGCAGCTTTTGCTCCCCGCAGGCCTGCACCCGATGATCCCTCGTTGTTATTCGAAGAATCCGTCTAGCCTTATCGCAGTTATCCTCCCATTGCTCTGAACCCCAATCCCATCGCCGCTGAGGACCGTTGTTCCTCCCCGAAAATGAAGCACGTGCGCCGCCTCGTTCCTCCGACGAGGGCCCTTCGTCAGATCCTCCTCACTTCTCAGCCTACCTTTCGTCCAGCATTCTTCCGACTTGGACCCAGCCTCAATGAAGTCCCCTTTCGATCGTACAGTCCGACGTGCAGCTTGCTCAGATATCGTGCAAAATCCAATCCCCCTGCACTGCCGCAATATACCCTAGATGAAGATATCGGGGCGCAATACGTTCAGCTAGTGAACGAAAACAACAGCCTTGATCCCCCAATAAGTCTTCGCGAGGTCCTGCGATCCATCGATCGCGCGGACTATTGTGTGCAGCAGGTGTCGCCTGGTAAGAACGGGGTGTCCATCTGCAAAATCATGAATAAATTCGAATTGCGGGAACAGGCCAAGGAGAAAGCGAAACCTCCCCGAGATGGCCTTAAACAGCTGGAGCTGAACTGGGCGATCGATAGCCATGATCTGTCTCATCGCATGAAGCAGCTCACGACGTTCCTCGAGAAAGGTCGGAAGGTGGAGGTGATTTTGACGAAAAAGAAACGCAAGAGAGCTCCTACCGTGGAGGAAGTTAAGACTTTGATGGACCGGGTGATGGACACTGTTCGGGAGGCCAAGGCCGTACCGGTGAGGCCCATGGAAGGGGAGCCGGGCAGACATGTGGTTTTAGTGGTGAAAAAAGATAGTAACTGAGGACTGTGCATCAAGGTGGATCGGAGTTTAATGTGTATACTATTGAGGATTGGAATTGTGGGTTCTTTGCATGTATATAACGAAGTATCAGTGCTTGGAAAGGATCGAGCAGGCTTTCCAGCAATCTCAGAAATATCTCTCTGCTCGGTAGCTGACTGGATGATGGCCATATGACGGGTATGATTTGCCATGCTCCGGCTCAGGCTCCGGGTATGGCATCCATCTTGAGCTATCTATGCTATGGTTGAGCGGGAGAGGACGACCTCATATCGAAGTCATGTGCACGCCCCACCCGGTGGAAAATATTGAATGTACCATAATATCATTGTTGCAACATCATCTCGGTTCCCCGACTTGCCCTTCCACCTCCCTCTGGTCAGTCCCTGCCGTACCTGTTCCTGGCCGGGATACCTGCTTGCTGGAGTGCGTGGGCCTATCCCGTGCCTGGGGACTCCGCAATACTGCGGGCGTGATTGGCCGGCAGCTGAGTCAGCGTCTCCCTAAATTTTTCCGGGCTGAAGGTCTGCTCCATCCCAGCTTGTGTTCTCTCCCGTTCCATCGCGTTTCCTTTGGTTTTCATTCCTGTCCGGTTGTCTTTCCATCGCAGGGTAGCCATCATGTCCGGCCTCGCTAGAACTGCCAACTTCTTCCTGCGTTCCAGCAGGGCCTCCCTGCTGCGCCCCCGTGGTGTCAACCCCATCCAGCATGTGTTCGCCAAAGACAAGCTGGCTGCCCGTGGCATGGCTACTGCTTTCGAGCGTACCAAGCCTCACGTCAACATCGGTAAGCTTCCATCCTCAGTTCCTATCTCCCAACACCGCCGCTAATCAGCTTTTCATAGGTACCATCGGTCACGTCGATCACGGCAAGGTGAGACTCCAATTCCCGGCATTGTTGTTCTTCCCGATACGGTCCGAAAACTTCTCACACATTCCTCTAGACCACCTTGACCGCTGCCATCACCAAGCACCAGGCCTCCAAGGGTCTGGCCCAGTTCCTCGAGTATGGTGCCATTGACAAGGCTCCTGAGGAGCGCAAGCGTGGTATCACCATCTCGTCCGCCCACATCGAGTACGCCACCGACAAGAGACACTACTCCCACGTCGACTGCCCCGGTCACGCCGATTACATTAAGAACATGATCACTGGTGCCGCCAACATGGACGGTGCTATCATTGTCGTTGCTGCCTCCGACGGTCAGATGTACGTTTAATTCTTGGTCCTGCTGACCCCTCCGAGTTTCAGTGCTGACGCCGGTCAACAGGCCCCAGACTCGTGAGCACTTGCTGCTTGCTCGCCAGGTCGGTGTCCAGAAGATCGTCGTGTTCGTCAACAAGGTCGATGCCATCGATGACCCGGAGATGTTGGAGCTCGTTGAGCTGGAAATGCGCGAGCTTCTCGACACCTACGGCTTCGAGGGTGAGAAGACCCCCATCATCTTCGGCTCTGCTCTCTGCGCCCTCGAGGACCGCCAGGCCGACATCGGTGCCGAGCGTATCGACGCCCTCCTTGAGGCCGTTGACACCTGGATCCCCACCCCCCAGCGTGACCTTGACAAGCCTTTCTTGATGTCCATCGAGGAAGTCTTCTCCATCCCCGGCCGTGGTACCGTCGCCTCCGGCCGTGTCGAGCGTGGTCTTCTGAAGAAGGACAGCGAAGTCGAGATCATCGGTACCTCCAACGAGGTCATCAAGACCAAGGTCACCGACATTGAGACCTTCAAGAAGTCCTGCGACGAGTCCCGCGCTGGTGACAACTCTGGTCTCCTTCTCCGTGGTGTCCGCCGTGAGGATCTCCGCCGTGGTATGGTCATTGCCGCTCCTGGCAGCGCCAAGGCCAACGACAAGTTCATGGTCTCCATGTACGTCCTGACCGAGGCTGAGGGTGGTCGCCGTACCGGTTTCGGTGTCCAGTACCGTCCCCAGCTGTTCATCCGCACTGCTGGTAAGTGATTCCGTACTTGTCTCGAGTCAAAGGCTCTGCTAACTATGTCTACAGATGAGGCTGCCGAGTTCAGCTTCCCCGACGAGGACCAGAGCCGCCGCATCATGCCCGGTGACAACGTTGAGGTGATCGTCAAGACCCACCGCCCCGTTGCCGCCGAGGCTGGTCAGCGCTTCAACATCCGTGAGGGTGGTCGCACCGTTGCCACTGGTCTCGTCACCCGTGTCCTGAACGAGTAAACAGCGGGCCTGAACAGGTTCGTCTAGCATGACCGGGGAACTGGCTGCTGTGTACCATGCGAAAAGAAGCGAAAAATAATTGACAGGGATTCGTTCATAATGTTTACACCATCTTGCAGCGCGGGCATCAGCGGGAGCATCCGGAACTGATACGCCAGGATGGTGGGTTGCGCCGGAGTTCTTGAGTCATATCCATGTATCTGTATTGTATTGAAATGTCTGTAGACTTTTGTATCTCTTCTCCTCTCTTCTCACTTCTAGGTATGTCGTTGAAAATGAATTGAATGATCTACTCCATTGATGTGCTGGGACTTGGGTGTGGCCTATCCTCGACAGTAGGGAGAACTCCATAGATAGAGATCAGCCCATCCGATCCCGATCGCGACCCTTACTCGATACAGCATTCCAGATCACGGGGACACTAACCGGACGAGGCCTAGCGTGTAACGGATCGGACGGTCGCGGCCTGGATGCTCAGGCGACCGGAAACAAGGCGAGGCCACTAAGAATAACTAACCAGTCTGGGCCCCGGAGGAGGAGGACTCCTGACCAGGGCCGCCGGACAACGAGAATCACTCCCTCAGCTCGGCTTCCTCAGCACTCACGCTCGCTTTCCAGCAGACCTCGGTGGGGACCATCTTGTCATCTTGTGATTATTGCCCGTCTCCCATGGTGACCCTCTTCGAACCTTGACCTCATCCCACCTCGATCCTTCTCCCTCTCTCCTTACTTCGCATCCCGCACCTATCTACTCCGTACTATTTGTCCCTACCTTCCACTTTCGCCACGGTCTCCGCATCTGACGTTGCTCCAACAGCCTTCCCGGTTGTCTTCCCAACCCACCCCCCAAAACGACAACCCTCTCAGATTCAACCCCCCCCCGCCAGCACGGAACCTACGCACGAGGACCAATTTACGACAGCAGCGCAAACAGTGTCCCTCGTCATGGCGACCAATGGCCATTTTGCCTCGATCGGCAACGGCAGCAGCGACAAGACCGCATATGAACATGGAGTACAGGTCATCGACGAAAATAAGGAGTTCAAGTAGGCGTGCCTCTTTCCTGCAGTCCTTGTCACAATGCCCATTGTTGGCGTGGCTCGGGTCGTGACTTTTGGACAAATAACCATTATGCGACTCGGCTGGCCTTCGGATGACGGCTTCAGGGGTTAGTGAGCGGCGCATGAGCTAACAACCACCACTCCAGTGCAAATATATCGAAATACCTCAGTCTCGAAAATGTCACATCTGCCGGTTTCAATTACCACCTCATATCCGTCTTCGGATCCCAGTCGACGGGAAAATCGACCCTCCTCAACCACCTCTTCGGTACCGAGTTCTCCGTGATGTCTGAGTTGGAACGGCGTCAGACCACCAAGGGTATCTGGATGTCTAAAAACAAGAATGGCGGCGACTCGTCCATGGCCGATAATATCCTCGTCATGGATGTCGAAGGTACTGATGGTCGCGAGAGAGGCGAGGACCAGGACTTCGAGCGCAAAAGCGCTTTGTTTGCGCTGGCGACGAGTGAGGTCCTCATTGTTAATATCTGGGAGCACCAGGTCGGGTTGTATCAGGGCGCAAACATGGGCCTGTTGAAGACCGTCTTTGAGGTCAACATGCAGCTGTTCCTGAAGGATAAGAAGTATGTTTCGCGCATGGCTACGCTTGTTCCTCGTTTCCCATGCTGACTGTTTCTTTCTAGTACCACCCACCGCTCCCTTCTCTTCTTCGTCATTCGTGATTTTGTCGGCAACACCCCGCTCAAGAACCTGCAGCGAACCCTGATGGAAGACATGTCACGCCTATGGGATACGATTTCCAAGCCTGCCGGTCTGGAGCATTCTACAGTACACGATTACTTCGATTTCCAGTTCTACGGACTTCCGCACAAGAGTTACCAGCCGGAACAGTTCGTGGCCGAGACGAAGAAGCTGAGCCTGCGTTTCCGCGATGGTCATAAAGACCCGAACTTGGATGCGTTGAAGGGAGAATTTTCCGACGGCGGAGTCTTCCTTCCCGAGTATCACCGTCGCATCCCCGCCGACGGCTTCTCCCGATATGCGGAAGGCATCTGGGACCAGATCGCGAACAACAAAGACCTGGACCTCCCCACCCAGCAGGAACTGCTGGCACAGTTCCGTTGCGATGAAATTCTGAGAGAGGTGATGCTTGCGTTTGATGAGGCCATCGTTCCCTTTGAGGATAAGCAGTCGCAGGCGGCTCGCCTCGGGGAGCCAGAAATCCTGGGCGGCTTGGGAGCTGCGATGCGGGCCTCCCGTGCCAAGGCCTTCAAGGCCTTCGAGACCGAAGCCAGTCGGTACCACAAAGGAGTCTACCAGCGCAAACATGCGGAGCTTGAGGGCAAGGTCGACACGCGTCTCAAGGCTCTGTTCCAGGGCCAGCTTGACGCCATGCACAAATCTGGAATCCACGAGTTCAGCGAAGCAGTGTCGGGTGCCGTGAAGTCTGGGCAGAAGAAGGGTACCGGGTATGACTTTGCGGAGATTGTCAAAGAGGAAGCGATCAAGGCAGTTGAGAAGTTCAAGGAGGTTGCGCAAGCCACGGCCGTTGAGGAAACCGCCTGGAGCGACTCCCAACACCAGCTGGCGCTGTATGAGAAAGAGCTCGCCGAAGTGAGTGCACGGCTCCGAAGGGAGGAAATGAGACGGCTCGCTAGCCGGGTTGAGCGGTGGGTGCAGTCCCGCCTGGGGGAGTCCGTCGGGCTCGAGTTCAATGCCCTGGGATCCGGTCGGGCCGGTGGCGGTGCGCCGGAGGACGGCGAGAAGCCGACCGAGAAGAAGTTCTGGGACCGGGTGTGGAATGTGTTTGTTGAGACGGTCCTTGACGCGGAGCGAAAATTCACCGATCGCGCCAGTAGTTTCGATGCCAGCCTGGAGGAGGTGGACGTTGGGCTCTGGCGATTGCGCCGGAAGTCGTGGGGCGTTCTGCGCGCGAAGATCGAAGAGGAGATGGTCGAGGGCAACCTGTTGCTGAAGCTGCGCGAGAACTTCGAAGACAAGTTCCGCTACGATGACGCTGGTGTCCCTCGGATCTGGCGACCCACCGATGACATTGAGGGCATCTACACCCGGGCACGCGAGTCGACGCTGACCTTGATTCCCCTTCTTTCCCGGTTCCGACTGTCGGAGACATCTGCGCCGCCCCCGCTGGATCGCTGGGTTGGGCACACGCCTAGCTCTGCGACTCCGGCTGACGAGGAAGACCTGCCCCCGATCGGCGGGGTGGACGAAGAGGAGGGCAAGAGTTTGGAGGAGGAGATGACGATGCTCAGCGAGTCGAAGCGCCAGGAGCTCACGGTGCGGTTCAAGAAGGCGGCGGATGGGGTGTACGTGGAGGCCAAGCGCAGCGCCATTGGAGGCATGACGCAGGTTCCCTTGTACTTTTACGGAATTCTTCTTGCTCTCGGCTGGAACGAGATTGTTGCTGGTGAGTATTTTTCTGATGGATGTGGGTTGCTTATGGCTAACCGGACGCAGTTCTTCGCAACCCGGCCTACTTCTTCCTCCTGTTTTTGTGTCTCGTGGGAGCGTACGTGACATACACCCTCAATCTGTGGGGACCGATAATCAAGATGACGGAGGCCGCATCGAACCAGGCACTGGTGGAGGGCAAGAAGCGACTGCGCGAGTTTCTGGAGTCATCGGACACGGGGCGACAGGCGATCGCCATGTCGACGCCGGCTGGCCGGGGCGAGCAGCACGAGATGTCGCGTCTCAACAAGCAAGGGAAGGCGACGGCCGAGGAGGAGGAGGATGACTTGTAAAGGAGGCAGGGGGTGGTCACTTGTATTCCAATGTACTTTTTCGTTTATAGATACTGCATTGAATGCTCACATTAGCATGCTTCCTAGCCTGTCGATGAAAGCGGGATGCCTCCGGAGTAGGTTTTCTCTCCGCATCCTCCTCCGGCGGTGCTCCTATCTGGCTGCTGGCTATCATGTATTACGGAACCCCTCCGATAACAAGTGCTCACCGTTCCTGCAGGCCCGATTCCATTAGCATCCAGCCGGACTCCCCGCGACGCCGGGCCTAACCTCCCTAGCTTGGGGCCTAATGCAGCGGAGGTCCTCGCGTCCCCCAATCTCTCGTCAATCGTTCTCCTGACGATGTCATCTGCAAGCTCCACCCCCTCCGGCAACCCCGACGCTCTCCGACGGCACAAGATAATTTGACTCGGCAACCACGCTTGGGATTCGTCCTGCCCCAGTTCCTCATGCCGTGCCTGTCTCAATCTAATGGGGTAGGGTCGTACCGACCAGCAGAACTCCGCTTCTGCTGAGCTCACGCCATTGTGCGAGCCCGCAGCACCGCCGACATAAATGTCTCGCTCCCTCCTCCCCCGGCACTGAGTCCCTCTCGTGCTGTTCTGTCTGCTGTGTTCTCTGGATCCTCAATCCTACACAGGCAGCTCACGATGCGTTCCTTCTCCGCTGTCGCTGCTGCGGCACTGGCTCTCACCTGGGCGTCTCTTGCCCAGGCCGCTCGCCCTCGCCTTGTGCCCAAGCCCGTCTCTCGCCCGGCGTCCAGCAAATCTGCTGCCACTACGGGCGAGGCCTACTTTGAGCAGCTGTTGGACCATCACAATCCGGACAAGGGAACCTTTTCGCAGCGCTACTGGTGGAGCACCGAGTACTGGGGTGGTCCTGGTTCGCCGGTACGTCTTCTTCCTGTGGTCTTCTGACGGCCCGGTTTCAATCCTGCCCGCATTGGCTCTGTGACCGTGAGGAACTGTTGCTGATTAGATTAGGTGGTCCTGTTCACCCCTGGTGAGGTCTCTGCCGATGGCTACGAGGGCTACCTCACCAATGAGACCCTCACCGGTGTCTATGCGCAGGAGATCCAGGGTGCTGTTATTCTCATTGAGCGTGAGTTTCCATTGGTTGTTTGCATGATTATTAGCTGAATCAATATCTTCAGACCGCTACTGGGGTGACTCCTCGCCCTACGACGTCCTCAATGCCGAGACCCTGCAGTATCTCACCCTTGACCAGGCTGTCCTGGATCTGACCTACTTTGCCGAGACGGTGAAGTTGCAATTCGACACCAGCACCCGCAGCAACGCACAGAATGCTGTATGTTCACACCCACAGGTCATGTCGGATTATACTGACTCTACCTAGCCTTGGGTTATGGTTGGTGGCTCGTACAGTGGTGCTCTGACTGCCTGGACTGAGTCTGTCGCTCCTGGAACTTTCTGGGCCTACCATGCTACTAGTGCCCCTGTGGAGGCTATCTATGACTTCGTACGTTTACCTGTGCCAACCATTGCCAAATACTAACCCGCCCAGTGGCAATACTTCTACCCCATCCAGCAAGGCATGGCGCAGAACTGCAGCAAGGACGTCTCCCTGGTCGCTGAATACGTCGATAAGGTTGGCAAGACTGGTACCACTGAGGAGCAACAGAAACTCAAGGAATTGTTCGGTCTGGGTGCTCTCGAGCACTACGATGACTTTGCAGCGTGAGTCCGGAGCAGCAGCCACAGAATTCGTTACAATTCTAACTTACTTGCAGTGTCCTCCCTAACGGCCCGTACCTCTGGCAAGACAATGACTTTGCCACTGGATACTCGGAATTCTTCCAGTTCTGTGACGCTGTTGAGGGCGTCGAGGCTGGCGCCGCAGTCACCCCTGGACCCGAGGGAGTCGGTCTCGAAAAGGCTCTCGCAAACTATGCTAACTGGTTCAACTCGACCATCCTGCCTGACTGTAAGTGCCCGCCGTCATTTATATACCCTGGACCCGAATTAATCATCCGATCTAGACTGCGCCAGCTACGGCTACTGGACCGACGAATGGAGCGTCGCCTGCTTCGACAGCTACAACGCCTCCAGTCCCATCTTCACCGATACCTCGGTCGGCAATGCCGTCGACCGGCAATGGGAGTGGTTCCTGTGCAACGAGCCTTTCTTCTACTGGCAGGAGTACGTACTTCATACATGACACAATCGCATGAATAACTAACACATTGCTTAGCGGTGCCCCGGAGAACGTGAGCACCATCGTGCCCCGTCTCGTCAACGCCGAATACTGGCAACGTCAATGCCCGCTATACTTCCCCGAAACCAACGGATACACGTACGGCAGCGCGAAGGGCAAGACCGCCGCCACGGTCAATGACTGGACCGGTGGATGGTTCCAGACCCACAACACCACCAGATTGATCTGGACCAACGGGTGCGTTATATTCCCTTTCTCTCATGTCCTTGATTTCGAGCATAGATGGAAGACGTTCTCACCTATTCGATGCAGACAATACGACCCCTGGAGAGACTCCGGGGTCTCGTCGACCTTCCGTCCCGGTGGCCAGCTGGTGAGCACGGCCAACGAGCCCGTGCAGATCATCCCCGGTGGATTCCACTGCTCGGATCTGTACATGGCGGATTACTACGCGAACGAGGGAGTGCGCAAGGTGGTAGACAACGAAGTGGCGCAGATCAAGAAATGGGTGGCGGACTACTACGCATGAACGGACGTCCGTGCATGATGACGATCGACGAAGATGACTATATGTATATAAGGTAGATACAAGCATGTTCTGTGAAGAGGATGAGAAAATACGCACATATGAGATGAAACCTTCCATCTCAAGTCCCAATGAACTCAATATCAATAAAAACGACTCATGAAATCCTCCAACGAAAAGCATAACCGGAATCAAAATTTCGGTTATCAAAAGATAGTACTCGCTTCATTCCTTATCTTTCTCTCTTACACCGTGACACTACTCAAATCTATATAATTGGAATGAAATGATGCATATGCTCGCTGAATCGGTGAGTAAAGCAATGGATGGATAGGAGAGACTATTATGAGAAAGAGATGGTAGTTACTGGAGGCTTTTAGTCAGAGAAAGGGGAAGAGATGGAATAGGATGTGAAGTGTGGGTAGGTAGTACTTACCCCTAGGAACGTGGAAGGATGATGAGAGCCAGAAGGCTAAATTTGTTGTAGAAGATCCCGATGCCTCAGGATCCTCCGATCCTGTTTCATTGTCGAAGAAGGGTTCTCGTGCGGGTTGGGCGCGCTGGGGCCTACATCTACGCCTATGGGTATATGAAGGTCGTGATTTTGTGGTTGGTTCGGCGTTGGAATCATCGTTCTCATTAGGATTGTAAGGTTGACGTTCGATTGAAATTCTTGATACCGCGTTTAAAATGCCTATAGGGGTGTGGAATGTGGGATATGGGGAGTTGGAAGGGGCAAGTTACAGATTAGAGGGTGTGTGATACTACACGGAGATTGGGGTATGTAACTGGTTGATCAGTTTGTGGTAGGGGCATAGCTGGCTGTACATGAAGGTGAGGATCTTCTATTTGACAAGATGTATATGTTATGGGCAGTGAGATAAGGGATGGTGGAGTAAGACTAGATAAATGTATAAATGTGTTATTATGTAGGATCAGTCTATGGTCTAGAATGTCGATCGAAGAAAGGAAGAAGAATAGAAGATAATGTGAACATAAGTTCACAGAAGTGAACGATGAAATGAAAGGGTATTGGAACAGGAAACCAGTCGGTGGGAAATACCTCTTGGCCACCGAAAAGTGGAATGAGGTAGATTGTCCGACCAAATGCGAAACAACGGTATCGCTCAAGCAGATCATGTATAATCAAGAGCTCGCAGCCTTCTTCTGCTTCTTCTTCAATCCGTCCGTTTTCCAATTCTTCACACGGAAGAGGTAATAAAACGCTGCAGTCGCAGCAACCTGCACCACGACGTACACCCAGAAGATCCCGAAATTGCGCCAGTGCTGGCTATATTCGATGCCTGTAGCGGTGATAAACTGGTCGGCGGTGCTCACAGCGCAGTACTTGCAGTCCGTCGTGGCATTCGGGTTGAGCAAGTTCCCTCCCGTAAGCTCGGCGTATTGAGTCAAATACTGCCCACAGGTCTGCCCCGAGGGTGGGCTGAGAACGGACACCTCCGAGTCGGAACAGGTAACCGCACGCCCGTGCACCTGGACGGAGACCATCGCCGAGGCCCAATATGTGAACGGCGAGGCGCGGTACATGAAGATCCAGAACCCCGGGAGCGCGGAGGGCGGTTGCATGATACCGCAGAAGGTCAGGGACATGGAAAACAAAAGCGTGACGACGGCACTTCCGGTGACGGTATCCGGGAGGGCAGCAATGACCATCTGGGCGAAGGTGCTGGTATAAATGAATAATTCAATGCACATGATGAGAACGGTGGCTTGTTGGGCAGAGCCCTGGATCCCCACCACGGGGAAATAGTAGCAGGCGAAGACGAGAACGCCCAGGATGATCTGGTAGGGGATTTCGACGATGATGTTGGCCATTATAAAGGCTTTCCAGGAGTAGGCTTTGCTGGGGCGTTCGCGGACTTCGTAGAGGTCGCGTTGGGTGATGAACAGAGGCATGATCTATCTTTCGTATTAAAATGGTTTTGGTCTAAATATGAAGAAGGGAGGATTACCTGCTGCACCAAGGATGGGAAGAGAGAGCACAGCATGAAGATGGAGTAGATGACTGTCTGCAGGCCCTGAAGGGAGGACTTGGCGTGGAAGAAGGAGAAGCCGATAAAAAGACCTCCGAGGATCCCCAGTCCCCACTTGGCGAGAACATACGAGGGCAAGCGCCAGTACTGCTGGAAGACCCGATAGGTGACCTGGTAGAGCTGAAACCAGAAAGGCATGGCAAACTCGGTGTGGCTCCATTCGCTCTCGTTCTCGACAGGAATCTGTTGCTGTTGGTCGTGAATGCGATCGATCTCCGCCTGGACCGCCTGGCTCTCATTGCTCTGCTTCCAGACGTCGAACCAATTTTGTCCCTGTGCATTCGAACCATGGTTGACGACCTCGAGCATGTATTCCGCCGGGTTCTCGGCCTCGCCGCAGGTTCGTGGCGCGCCGTGGGATTCGAAATAGTCGAGTAAAGTGCGAGAGTTCTCACCAACAGGGCCAAAGTAGACGGTCTTGCCACCACGGGCAAGGAACAACAAGCGATCGAATTGCTGGAAGAGAACGGCACTGGGCTGATGGATGGTGCAGAGGACGGCTTGGCCGTTGTCGGCCAAGCGGCGCAGGAAGGCGCAGATGGCCCACGAACTCTGGGAATCCAGACCACTCGTGGGCTCATCCAGGAAGAGGAGGAGCTTCGGCTTTGCAGCCAGTTCCACGCCGATTGTTAACAGCTTGCGTTGCTCAACGTTCAATCCTTCCCCAGGAACACCGACAACGGCTTCAGCAAAGTCCTCCATTTTGAGCATGGAGATGACTTCTTCGACGTAATCATACTTTTCCTTGAGTGAGACGGAAGGAGGCTGGCGGAGGAGGGCGCTGAACTGCAAAGACTCGCGCACTGTTGCCGTTTCAAGGTGGAGATCCTGTTGCTGGACGTATCCAGTTTTCCTCTGAAAGCTAGCATCTAGACCCCGGCCGTTGACAAACATATCCCCCGTAATCACCCCCATGGTTGTCCGATGGGCTAAAACATCGAGAAGCGTCGTCTTTCCCGCTCCACTGACGCCCATGAGAGCTGTGAGAGTGCCTGGCTTGACCCATCCCGATACATGATCCAGCAGCCGTCTGGTCTCACCCTTGATGTCAACATCATAACAGACGTCTCGCCAGGTGAAAATATCTTGTTGAGGGGCTAGGGCCGCAAGATCCCCTGGTTTGTCACCTGCCGCAGTGGGCTTGACTGCATTGAGTTCGATCCCATTCTCAATATCCGATGATGTCGAGCTATTAGCAAGCAAGGCTCGTTTCTGGCTGCGGTGGAAGACCAGAACCTCGGCGGTACTGGTGGTGGACGAGTTCAATTCCGTTGCAACAAAGTAGATGGCCATGAATCCAATCAAGAAAGCGATGAGGATCCCAAAGTTGCGCCACACGTGGCTATAGTGGTATCGAAAATTGACGGCGATATACTGGTCGCCGCTCACGAACTTACTACCGGCAGTCGATCCCGTTGTGGAACAAATAAAGGAAGAGCCATTCATGTCCGCGTAAGATGGGATGAAGGAGGAGCATGGGAAGTCGCGACCATGGAACTCGTTGGCGATTAGAATCTCAAACGCATAATAGATCGGATCTGATCTAGGTTAGCAAGAGAAGAGGACAGAGGGAGGGACTGCATACTAATGTAATGAATCCATCCCAGCCAGGGATGCATGGAGGGTACAGGGAGCATAAAGCCGGTATAGACCACGAGGGCCAGAATCAGAACTCCACCCAAGGTCATGGCTTGGGAGACAGTTTTGGTTATAGCGGCCATGGTGCGGAAGACCGCGCTCATGACAAACATGATAATAAACGAGATCAAGAAGTAAAGGAAGAACTGGGCCGGCTCCCGTCGCAAATTGACCATGAAGTAGAGGATGAGGTTGAATGCAACCGCAAGAGCAAATTTCACGGGTATATCGCTGACAATCCCCGCAATGGCTTCCGTGGCTGGATGGTAGAATGCATAGGATGCTTGCTTTTCCACAATCGGTCGCTGGGAGTAAAGCAAATTAATCTCAGACATGGCTCCCAGGGCATTCAGAAGGACGGCAAAGAAGAGGGCTGCTCCTTTGGCAGTAAAGGAGGCCGTATCAGAGGGAGAATTGTAGTAAACCGAGCCGATAATCAGGGCCATGATGATCTGTCCGGAGACGTTGGATATGGTGGTCTGGATGTCATTCCACAGCCGCTGATATGCGCGCCTCGTGTTCAACCTCACCTGCATGGGAACGCTCAACAAGAACGGTGATTCTGGCCGAGTGTGGTTGGCCTGGGCAGCCCGCTTGCGCTGATGGAACTCGGTGTCGGTCAGCTTGTCCCCATGCAAAGGATATTGTTGTTCATAGGAAGCGATGTCGGCCAGCACCTTTTGATACTCGGGCGACTGGCGCCAATAGGCCTCGAAATCGTCGGGGGTCCGGGGAACCCGGTTTTCCATTCCAGCTCGTGCGCGACGCTCCTGAGAATTGGTGACCGACGTCAGAAAGTCTCCTGTGGTTTGTCTTGAGGGGCATTCCCAGCCCTGCCTCTCAAAAAAGGCTTTGGCCTCTGAGGTTGGCCCAAAGTAGATCTGACGGCCCTCGTAGAGCACAGTCACTTTGTCAAAGATATCGTATATGCTCTGACTCGCTTGGTAGATCGCAATCGCATGGGCGGAGCCCGTCAGATCGGCAAGCAGTCGGAGGGCCTCGACAAATTTCAGCGCTGTCGCGGAGTCGAGGCCGCGGGTCGAGTTATCCCAAGCGGCCAGGGGAGATGCAGCCAGGGCCATCTCGGCGATACTCACGCGCTTGCGCTCTCCACCGGAGACACCCCGGATGAACTCATTCCCAACCTTGGTATTGTAAGTGTGGCTCAGCCCGAAGATAGCCATTACGACCTTGGTGAGGTACTGGGCGTATTCGTCTCGAGACATGTCCCTCATGCGGTTTTGTGGGGTGCGCATGGCGGCGGCAAATTCGAGGGTCTGGCCCACGGTGAGGTGAGGGAAGTGTTTGTCCACCTATTGATGATGGTTAACGCGTTATTATGCTAGCGGGCTTTTGATTAAGTGGGGTGCTAACCTCTTGATTGTACACGACTTCACCTTTAAACTCCTTGATCATCTGGTGCTGGGGGATACCATTATAATGGATCACGCTGCTGTCATCAACCGTCAATCCATCAAGCTGCCCACACAGAGACTTCAAAAAAGTACTGCAGCCTGCTCCTGGGCGACCAAGAACCAGAAGAAGCTCTCCACTTTTCATAAGCCCATTGAACTCATTCAGGATGCGCTTTGGTGGGGAGTGACGGTTGCGAAGAAGGTCGCCGATCTGAAGAGGGGCCGAGAGGGTCGATGCCACGGTATCTTGAAACCGGACCGCCGCTCCAGTGCCTGAAATCGTGAGGTTTTTGAACACAATTCCCGGTCGAATTGTCCGAGAACCATCGCGATGAAACTCCTGGAGGCGAAAGGCCAGCCATTTCCCCAGATCGAACTTGTCCGTCTGGGGATCCAGACGAGGATCGTCCTCACGAATCGTATCCAGGGTATCGCGCTTCCCCGTAGCAGTATGCTGAGTATAGACGCTGGAGCGTCGCCTCATGGACTCTGCAGTGGCGATGCGCACGAGGGTCTGCCTCTCCTCAGGGCCGATCAAGTCCACAGAGGGGGTGACCGTGTCGTCGGCATTCTGACTGGCTAGGGTGTTTGGCGTATTTTGGCGAAGAAGGTGGTCCTCATCCTGGGGCCATGGGCCCATGTGATTGGGAGCCATCTAGGACACGGATAGAGGGCAGAAAAGAGGCATGTAAGGGATGAATATGCGATAAGGTTACCCTTGAGGAGGGCCATCGCAGCCCCATTCTTATATGACAGCCATGCATTTTGCCTCAGAGGACATCGGCCAGGGATCGACTTACAATCATCAACGGAAAGTCAATCGACCTCTGCCGGGCCCCATTCGGGTACCGGGGATCGGTAGGAAAGATGTGCTGGAGCATCTGGCCAGGCCTGCTCGCAATATGGACCTCGCAAGGTCTCAGGGCTGAAATGTGCCCGAGGTACACCAATGAGGGGAGGCGTGGCTGATGTGTAAGCGGGCAGGGGATTCATAGTGCATCCGATCAGCACAATGACCCGTGGGTCAAATGTGGACTAAAGTTGGGCTTTAGGGCCCCTGTCAGGTATCCCCGCTGAATCATGATGTTAAATGCGCTGAGTCAGAACATCCGCCCCGATGGAATTTTCAGCAGAACTCCCGGATGGATAAAGTTGGTCCGGGGCCGTGGAGGCTTGGAGGTTTGGAGGAGGTGAAGGGGGATCTTCGGATGGCGAGACTTCCGGTCCGGTCAGGTGATCGCCCGCGTCCGGCAGTCCTCCTGCCTTTGTTCCCTTGTCCTTTCACTCCGTTGGTCGCTGTCTCCACTGGGTCACTGCATTCTATTCCGAGCATCCGTACCCATGGTTTCCAACCAAGCCATTGTCCTATAGTCTATAGATAGTAGGTCTCTCGGATAGCTCAGGACCCTACCCGGGATAAATAGTTTATCCCATCTCCTAATTTCCCTGATGGAAAGACGGAGATCGGAACTTGCCTGGCCGCCTTTCTAAATCAGTGGATAACTTAATTCCTGAGGCACCCACTATGGCCACGGATCGAGTGCAGCACATTCTGCCACCACCTGGCAAGAAAGATGAGCTTCATCCACATCATCCAGTTCAGCTGGAATGCCTCCTGTATGGTATTCTGGGATGGCCAGAACTAGTGGGATCTTCATGACCCTTGCGATAGGTGCGGCTTTAGTGTTGATCCCACGGAAGATGGCTCGATATGCTCTGTTCGTCAGCATCGGAGACTCCCCCTTTGATCCAATGTCAATGGCAAGGCATTCTCATTGACTTGACTTGGCAAATAGGGCTCGAAATGTCGTTTGTGCTACTTGTTAAGAGACGTGCTCCTCGACCAACATAATACTGCGGGGTTGGGACACCACGATCGCTCGGGGATTGATATTTGCATTGGAAGGATTCGCTATACTCGCACCGAGGATGGAGTGTAGCTACGAATGACATGCCTAATTCTCCCAATGCGGCGACTACAAATGCCTTCTCCGTGATACAGTTGGACCTCAAGATGGGTCTTTATGTATGCCATCTTGATCCAACGCGATCCAAACGCGAAAGTCATTCGTCTATGTGGTCCCGACAGGGTTATTCTTCAGAAGTGGGTTATGCAGGGCCAGATACCGATCCATTGATTTTGAACACATCATGACTGACTAGAATATATAATGTACAGCTACAGAAGGCAGTAGAACCCTACTCATTTAATGATTGTCAAGGGAAGTTGCTAGGATCAGCCCTAAGTGGCAAGTGGAGGTGTCCCCGGACTTGCTCCGACCCCGCCGTTATCAACCCCTCCCATCCCACTCCAACTGAATCAACAACACCAAACACCGTTCACTATACTCAACCAACACCGTTCATCACATCATGTCAGCCCCTGATCTCCCCGAAACATTCGATGACCTCCCCGACAAACGCCGCTACTGGCCAGCGGCCCCCAACTCCGCCGACGAGGGGCTCGGCATGCTGCGTCTGCTCACTCCCGAGGTCGTCGCCAATGCGGCGCGCACCCAGATTCAGACGGGCGAGCGCGTCTGTCTAAACTGGGATCTAGAGAAGCTGAATCCTCCAGGTCCGCACATCCCCCTCCTCTCAGCGACTCCACTAACCCACACAGGCTTCCGGCGCAAACCCTTCGAACACCGCATCAAATGGGTCAGCGACGGAGTCGCCTTTGACGACGAATATCACTTCAACCCGCAACAATCTTCGCAATGGGACGGTCTCCGACACCACAACGCACCGGGCCCAAGCCCGGATGAACGCGTCTTCTACGGGGGCACCACCTCCACCGAAATCTTGGATCCGACCTCCTCCCGCATCGGCATCGGCCACTGGGCGAAAAAGGGGATCGCGGGCCGCGGCGTCCTCATCGACTACTACACCTGGGCAAAAGAGAACCGCAACATCACAGTCAACGCGCTCAGTCAGCATACCGTGTCCCTCGACGACGTCCTCACCATTGCGGAAGAATGCGGGATCGAGTTTCAGCGTGGAGATATCTTTTTCCTACGAGTTGGGTTACCAGCTACGTGGGAGGGAATGAACGAAGAGGAGAAACTAAAGTATAGTCAACAAGAGATGCCAAAGCATGCGGGGATTGAGCAGAGTGAGCGTGTGCTGCGGTTCATGTGGGATAATCATTTCGCGGCCGTGGCATCCGATGCAGTCAGCTTCGAGGTGTTTCCGCCGCTGAAGCCGGAGTTTGATCTCCATCATTATATGTTGGCGGGGTGGGGAGTGCCGATAGGGGAGATGTTTGATTTGGATGAGTTGGCGGAGACGTGTCGACGGTTGGGGAGGTGGACATTTTTCATCTCTAGTAGTCCGTTGAATTGTGCGAGGGGAGTGTCCAGTCCGCCGAATTGTATGGCGATTTTCTAGTGATTCGATAAGGCGTGAAGCTATTCCGAGTCAGTGGGTCCACCACGTGACCAGTCGGGGTCCGGGGTCGGATGTGATACAGATCATGCAATTAATTGAGGAAGATACTTTGCTTCTTTTCAATCGTGGGAGTATTGGATTGGCGCAGATCCGATGTGAAGGTTGATCTACAACCGAGCGACCCCTCGCCGAGTAGTTTTTCCGGGCAGTCCGCGGACTTCCCAACATTGGGTCAATCAACTCCGATGGAATCCTCCTGACCATTGACATATAACAGCCGGGATCCTACGGAGTACTGAGCTTTCTTTCCCGGCTGCTGCTGTCTGATTGCTTGTCTGCCCCAGGGCATTGCTCTTTTTACCACGATCCTTCGGCTATCGCATCACCTACACGGGACCACGCTGAACATGGCCGACGCGCTCTCCACCCTGCGCGAGACCATCCTCCCCTCCCTGGTCTCCTGGAGAACATTGGCTCTGGTTCTTGCGCTTCTCAGCTTCAAGAACCTGCCTGGGGTGTGGCACGTACGTACTGCCCCCCCCGCATCCTGTCACCCTGACCCCCTCTACCCACGACCCCACCCTCAAACCACCCCGAAATCCACCTCAATCCCATCCAATGCAACCCATACTAACAGAGACACAGATCCGCCTAGGCTACCACCTCCTCCTGAACCTCCGCCGCCGTCCCACCGACCCTCCCTTCCCAACCTGTCCCCCTCCCAGCACCACCACGAAATCGATCAAAACCCACCCCATCTTCGCCCCGCACACCCTCACCACACACACCTCCCTCTGGGAAACCGACTACAACTTCCACAAATCCAACAGCACATACTTCTCCGACCTGGACATCTCTCGCACCGCGATCGTCACCCGCGTCTATACTCCAGGCATCACACTGATCAGCAAACAACTCGACGCGGAACTATGCCACGTCAGCAAGGAAGAAGGACGGGAGAATGTGGGAAAGACGTTGTATATTGCGCTCGGGTCGACGTTTACGAGTTTTAAGCGCGAGATTAAGCCGTTTGAGGGGTATAAGGTGGTGAGTCGCGTGGTGGGGTGGGATCGGAAGTGGGTTTATGTGTTGAGTTTGTTTGTGAGTGAGAAGGGGAGGGGGAAGGGGAATGGGAAGGGGAAGGGGAGGGTGTTTGCGACGGCGGTGAGTAAGTATGTGGTGAAGAAGGGGTGGTTGACGGTGCATCCGGAGAGGGTGTTGAGGGCGAGTGGGCTGTATCCGGAGGGGGCTTCAGAAGAGGGGGAAATTAAGGAGAAAAGCCAGGAAGAAGAGGGAGAGGACGAAGGAGTGGTGATGGTAGAAGAGGGAGAGGGATTGGAAACGCCCGAGGGGATTAAAGAGGGCGTTGCGGTAGATGGCGGGGTGGTGGGAGAGGTATTGGAGAAGGTCACACATGGGAACGATACATGGGATCGAAATGACTGGACATGGGAGCAGATCGAGGAAGAACGGCTACGGGGATTAAAGGTTGTAGAGGGATACGTGGGCTTAGACGAGAAGTTGTTAGCCGAGTGGGAGGGTTGATACTACACCCTCTACTTCTTTCATTTAGACTGTAAATAGGTATAAATTGCTTAGATTTTAGTATATAATACCTTCCACTTTCCATACCTCACTCTATACTCCGTACATAATCCGCCATAGTGAATGACTACCCACAAATCTCATTCTGCAAATCCACCCCCGCTACCCAAAAAATCAGCCTCTCCCCACCACCCACTATCCACATAATGGAATGAACATACCCTGTAAATCCCCCTGACACCCCCTCTCATTCAAACAATCCCGCACGCCCTGCTGAAACCCGGCATTGGTGCAGTAACAATTGATATCGCCGGCTTCGCAGACGGTGCTGGAGTTGACGCAGTCGCCCTGGGCAGTTTTGTTAGTCTGGGGTTGGGTGGGGTGGTTCATGAAGGATGTGGGAGAGGTGGGGAAGGGTACGAACTAGACATTGAGGGATGGTTTGGCCTGTTGTTAGGGAGAGGAGGGAGAGGAGGATGAGGAGGGAGGGTTTCATGTTGACAGATATGGAAATTGTATGGATTGTAGAGGATGGATATATGTTTAGTGATAATGGATTTGGAATGGGGAGAGAGGGTTGGAGATAGGATATCGGTTATATACTTGTAGGGCTTGTAGCTAAACCATGTAGGTCGTGGGAAGGTGGTAAGTCTCCTTGCGTGTAAATGCGGGGATCTCGTGTCCTATGATGTAGAATTGAGTGTAAGGAGGTGTTATGTGAAGATCATTATTAGGGTTATGAGTCAGAGATGAAGGGTTTGGGGGTAATTCGTTGTACTTATCTAGGTATAATATTTATGATCAGTATCATTTGGGGATTTGCGGTTGGGCTTGATGAGGGATAGGCTACTTTGTCAGACGCCATGTTTCTGTAGATCAATGGAGTAGATTAATTAGGTGTCTCAGCACAATTAAATTGTATGGATAGATGTAAGGGCTATCATCTGCTGTCTGATGAACGTCATCATCAAACAGACAGCTGGGATAAGACATGAGCCCTTGCGTGTGATGTCAGGTTGAACTCTCCAAAGTATAGCACAGGCTGTGACTGTTTCATTCCTAGCCGAGCAGTCCTTATAGATGAGGGGAGGTGTATAACTCTATAGGGAACACAGCATCCCAACGTTATCGGAAAGAAGTTGAAGGAATAAAGAATAAATATGTGCCGATGAGCAATTAAATGTGATTATAGTTGCTGAGATATGCACAGGACATTCGATCATCTACTCCATACCCTAAAATAATGGACAGTTTTTCAACATACATGCGATATCCCCTGGAAATTAGAGATTGACATGGTGTTCTGGTGATGATCAATTGCTGACCCGAGACTATATGATACATATCTTGTGATGACGACCGAGTTCTCATCAGAATTCCCTCATTACTGATAATTCTTCTTAGTATTGTCCTTTTCTGGATCATGGAATAGAGACATTGTATCGATCCTTCTTGTTTATAACCTAAGCTTCAATCTCAAGTACAGCCAATAAACAGACCGAATTAAGAATATCGAAAGATGTCACCTACAGAGCAGAAGGTATACAATCCCGGATTGTATCTCATAAGCTGGACTAACGAGGTATATATTTTAACACTCAATCGGTACAATTCCAACCCATAGTGTCTAATACCTTCTAATCAAATCCTAAGACCGCCACTACCACGGCACATAATCCCCCATATACGTGACAAACCTCCCGCCCATCA